CCACTGGGAATCGCCGCCAATATGATGCGATAGGTATAGCATGGCAAGAGCCAGAAACCGAAAACAAACCCAAATAAATAATCAAAACAAACTAAACTTAAGTATACCACGAAAAAAAAAGTGAACGAAAAAAAGAAAATGATTTGGCGTAAATTTGCAATTTTGCATTTAATTTAAATACAAATATTGACTTCTTCTTCTTTTTCAATTTGTTTCGGCTATTGTACGATGAAATCGTCTCTGGAAAGGCTTAGTTTTCAACTGAGTTCAGTGCTGCTCTTTTTTTTCTTGCCTTCTAGTTACGTCTTTTCTGTGGATTGACTTTTTTATCGTCTTTTTCCGCATATTTATTTCATTTGTAGAAGCGAAAGAAAAAAATCGTGCTACTTTATTTTTAACATGCTATTCAAATGACTGGAATGAAATAAAAAACGAGGTAGCGCGAATCGTAATATTATTTACCGTAGACGAACACACTGAAAATCACCCGTTTTTATTCGTTTCAATTTGCATTTCTTCAAAGTGATAGTTTGTTGAATGAGCATTTCGGGGAACACAAACCACAAAAAAAAAAACATATCCGATTCGAAATAAAGATGATTTCTATTTGAAAAAAAGGAAACGAGTCCATAACTGATTTCATTTGTTGGCTAATTCTTGAGCATTTGCAGTTTGCGATCATTTCCATTCAATAAAAGACCCTATTTTTTGTTGTTCTCAAACGAATCAATCGTAATATAAACAATAACGTCAGCAACTTTATTAATTATTCTGTCATAAAGTATGCCATTCAATTGGACGTAATGTCTGTATTTTGAATATGTGGTGTCTGGCAAAAAGTGAGAATCAAAATGCGTTGATTTAAAGTGGTATTATGACAAGAGTGTCGTCTCGAGATTGAGTCGCAACGTACGTTCGCAAAGAATTTTTCTTAATAAATTTTTAATAGAAATTATATCACTTTCGTAAACATTGTATTCCTGCAGTGTGTACAAATGAAACTGAATGAGATGCACAGTGTGTACGCGGGCTGGCATGCTTCTATAAGGCTGGAAAATGTGTTAATGTACGTAATATTGCATACACTGAATGTGTTGATCTTTTGAGTTGACTCTCTTCTTTTGTTTGTTTGTATTCGTTTTCGTTGTCTTAACAAGAAAATAAAATAACAAACATATACACAAACACATTTCAAGCCAATGCACAATACTATGAACTAAAAACTCATTTTCGAAAGGAAAAATGCCAACAACCCGAATAGAAAAAAAAAACGAATCCAAAATGAAAAGCATGGATAATAAAAGTGTACACATTAAAAAACGACCAAAATGATACGATGTATGTGTGTGTGTTGTCAAGATAGTAAACGGGCGGACGGGGGACTGTGTGTTGAGCTTTGTGCTGAACTTTTGAACTATGCCTATATGTATAATGGTTATGGTTCTTTTTTTTCGCTCTCACATTCGGTTTCAAAACAACCGATCAATCGACGTTAAGCGAAACAAACACTTACGCGCGCGCTTATATATATCGGACACTCAGTTGAGCAATGAAAACAAAAAGGAAATCTATTTGTGTATGAACGAAATGGAGAATTGAATTAAAACAAAAAAAAAAACAGCAACAACAACAGCGAAAAAAAACTTAAACAGAACTTAGAATCACTGATTCGATTATTATTATAATTGTTCGTTCGATTGAATCGCATTAGTCGATTTCGTGGATTCGTCCATTCTCATTTAGATTGTGTTGTATTTATGTCGAAGAGAGAAAGAGCGAGTGAGGAAGAACGGGCGCAAGTGGTGTTGTTGAACGTGATTGTGTATGTTGCAAGCAAGTTAAAAACGGCATAGTCGAAACCGATGCTGACCGTAATCAACGAAATAATCACTTTGCTCTTCGTACATAATAAAAATGAAGAGATTCGTTCATTTTTTTTTTGGTTTTGGTTTTGTGAGCGCTGCTGTTGCTGTTGTTGTTGTAGCTGATGCCGTTTTGTTAAATATTTACACAATCTAGGGACACAACCATTGCCTCTCACTCATGTGTAATGACTTGATCGTCGTATATTATTGTTGTTGTTGTGTATGAAGTTTATTTTTTTTTTCGGTATGTCAGTTTTGCTTATTTCATTTTCATGATCAAGCTTATTTATTTAATGCTATGCATTGTGTTTAGAAAACACTAATAACAACAGCAACAGTATCAGCATTGTGTGTCTAAGTGTATGTTGTTTTCTAATTCTCATGTGCCTTCGACGATAAATATATTCATATCGTTGCCATCTTTCTCAACATGAAAAAGAGAGTTAGAAACATATCAATTTTGGGTCCATTTCTAATGTATACACAGATTCGAGCATTTAAAAAATGGTAGTTTCAATATTCTTAAACAGATATCGTGATATTGGATCGTCAGAAGACAATTCCGTACTCACAATCACACACAAATAAGAAAAAGAAGTAGAAACTATTCATTGACGTCGCTTTTGTGTGACACCATAATCTGAGTGCGGGTGCGCGAGCGCACGATTGATACGATCTATACATCAACTCATTGAACAATTAATATTCGGATGGATGCATGACAACTATATTGACTCGGTGTGCAACAACACAATCTAGCAAGAGAATTTTTGATTGATTCGAAACAGATCGGACGCTCTTTACTCACATTCTACTCTTTCTCTCTTTCCAAACGCACAAACACTTACAATTCCTAATAAATTCTTCTATTAGTATTTCGTACTGCTATTGAGCGGTATTTTTTTTTTAATCGGCGACTGTGCGTTCTCGTACCGAATATAAAAAAAGATAATTTTTGTTAGATTCAAGGCGGACAATGGTTCAATAAAATGAATTGCATTCCATGCATTGATCTTTGCAATTAAATATGGGTATTTCGGCTTGCAATCCCCTCGATGACAGCAAATGCGATTCACAATTAATTTAAGTGGCCGCGCGCTATGATCATAACACACTCTCAAGCACAATCTCGCCGTCTCTATACTTCAATATCAATTGACTCGACGACAGGCAGCGTGTGTATTTTATTTTCATGTTATGGGAAAAAAAGCACACAAATCGCCTTATCGATTTTTATAAATCATTTTTTTTTGTCTTCAATTTACACATCGACAACTGGCATCGATAACTGCAAAAAGTAGCATGTGTAAAATATCAGTACTACAATTCGACTGCAATTTATTGTATTTTTGTACTTGTAAATTATTTTTTATATATATGCATTTCGCGACGATTTTTGAACAATGAAAATTTGTAATGGAAATGATGTGTTTGACTGTGACCATTTCATTTCAAACGTCGCGCC